GAAAACCAAAAACCTTTATCGCTCAATTGTTACTATCTAATTGAAGAATGTATATGTACTCATTAGATTAAAATGTCAGTATCTAACATGCTTTGAATTAATCTACTCGTGCTTTACAGATCATTTTATCACCATACAGAAAAATCTTCAGTTATCGACAAGTCAGTTGTATCTCATCCCATTCATGATTGTATTCTCTGGGTTACTGGAGTAGTTGGTTTATTTCTAACTTATGCTTATTATTCAAATAATATACAGATTTTACAAAGGTTCCACGGATCTCGGTCAACCTAAGTGCTATCTACAGTCGCTACTGTTATTTATTGTTTTATAGTCCCTGAATTGTGTGTATTATCTCGCATTTCTCTCTCCGAATATCCTTCCAATTCTCGTAAATCTTCTTGAACCCATTGTCAATTCACACGACGTTTTACTCTTCTTTTTCGAAAATCTCGATTCTGAATTATATTACGATTTTCCGATTACATATGTGAATATTACTGTTTCCAGTTCCTTTCTTATTCCTATGTCATCCTGACTGTTCTCCCTGTTATAGTGTTAATACAAAGATGTTCGTCTATACATTGTTATCTGAAATGATGGTGATGTGTTCTCTGAACTATTTAATTTACTTACTGAGAAGAATTTGGCTCTAAAGATGTTCGGAATAAATAATAATGAAAGCTCTAACTCACAGAACACATTAAATTTTTGTCTTTGACTGATTGTACTGCATTACTTGGAAGCCTACTCTCTATCATTATATTATGCTTGTTTTTATCACAAAACATTTATTGCCAGTTTCTTTTTCAGTGCTCAGGATAATCCGTACCATCCATCCAACTTATCCAAGCTACCATGTGTGATTCTATTTACACTTCACACTATTATCGTACATACAAATTCAACTCCATGCTACTTACACATATTTCATCCATCAACATAAACACGCACAACTACACAAACATGTCTCCTATAAATCCCTTCGACCGAAACCATCTCACATTGACTTGATCAGACTTTTTTTCTGATTAGTTACACTCAATATTCTTACTTTGTTCCTTTATATTAAGTAAACTTGAGTTAATTTAATGTGATCGTTTATTCTCTGAAGAAGCGACTTACACTGAGTAATAAAACGCCAAAAAGCTCAACTTTTCTACCCGTTAGGACAATACAAATATATGATTCTTATTATTAATAGTAGGATGATATATAATTGACAATGGTCACTTTATATTAGCTGAAGACAGAAAAGTATGGTCGGAAATTTATTGAAAAACCTGAACTGAATTATTCGAAAGTTTAATAAATGTCGATTGAATATATATATTAATCATATAAATGTGATTAGTTTACAAGTAAATGATAAATGTCACTTAGTAAGGAAGAGAGCAACGTAAAAGAAACATATTAGGTTGATCATTTTATATGTATAACTCTGCCTGGAACCCCTCTGGGGCTACTGCTGACCCCAAGCCCGGGCAAAAGAGGGGGACTAGGCATGGGGTTAGCGAAACCATCCCGTAGAAAGCCAACTCGTTGTTCGTATGTATATTTTAGGACTAGAGAAATGGAAGGGCAGGAATATTGAATAGGGTGTAGTATAACGATAGGAAAATTCTGGACCACTTTAGTGATCAAATGAATCAAAATCTATTAAAAATTGATATACTGATAATGAATTATTTCAAATCAAAGATCCTGATCTTTATCTCTGCATAGGACTAATGGATTAGGAATTTGTATGATAAGATGAAATCATTTTCCAATTTACATCCAATAATTTAACGAGTAATTTGTCAAGATAATTGTAAACTCGGGTTGTGATAGCAGTTAACAATAATCTGTGAGTTACTAATTGTCCTAGAGATTGATAGTCTGTTTCCTAAATCTTCATTTAATACATGAATTCTTATATTTGAAAGGCTATAAGCTGATTACGTTTCTAAGGTTTACATTTCCTATGATAATCTTAACTTTTATGTGATTGGTCACGTAAAATTTAGCAAACCTTCTAGGTCAATAACATATAACTCACTTTCTGGCGAAGAACAGATAACTGGTGGAAGGATTCATCCTTGATTGCATCCGGGCTGCAATCCGTCGAGGCAAAGGTGGAGGTGACGAAAAGACATCGTCTCTCACACCTATGTTTTCTCATTTTGATGGAACTTTCTAATAAAATAACACATAAACGACTGTTATGGGGATCCAATCGATTAGTGCTGCCGCGGTTCTAGCGCTTAGTGCGACACCTACACCAGCAAGACTAGACGAAGATGACACAGGATCCTCGGATTAATGCACGTAAAACAAGCTTTACGAAGCGACAGATGAAAAGCGAATTTGTAGTACTTCACAAGAGTCTTGATTACGGGTCTCGGATAGACAGCGAACGTTGATATGAACACTTTCTAAAGACATAGCCATCGCTATATGTTGTCCAACCTGCATAAATGTGCAAACGTTGAAGGCAGACAGTTTGAATGGTGCACGTGGTTTCAGAAAAACTGCTTCAGTCCTCGTATTCGGTGGTACAATACAATTTTCAACCAGACAGTGACTCGAGAACGTTTAGATACAGTCGAATTTCCACCATAAACGAGAAATAATGATATGCAGTGTGATTATAAAAGAGAGTGAAAACGTGAAGTATTGGATAGCACTACTACAAATAATAATAATAATGTTCATCGTTTGACTGGTAATCGAAGCAAGTATAGTATTTTCCGTAAGTATCGTCATTTCATTCTGTTTGTGTGCGGGTTGTGCTACTGTCCGGGAGCCCAGACCGAAACAGGTGGTTTCTCTAGAGGGCCATATCCCTAGCCTTTGACCCAAATGTCTGATCCACGAGACAATGGAGCATCGTGAGATGCAGCAATCCATGGTAGCCGTTGACCAACAATTGGTTCATACGCCATTTGTTCCCGCAGGATGCTGTGCCGCATGTGCACCATTGGTTTGGAATCTGGTTAAACCACCGAACATTTGCTTTTCGTCCTCTTATTCTCGTAAACAAAACTCCCACCACAAAAATGCAGTGAATAGGACTTCTCTGACAGAGGCTGTATACGCGTGGCTGTGTTAGAGCATTTCGAGTGCGAGGGCGGGCTCAACTCACTCTCGGCCATACCAGGGCATTTAGAAGTATTACTATTTGTATTAGTATTACTATTACTAGTAATAAATGATTTGTGGAGAATGTCCAACTTGTAGTTCACATCACCAACTGATTTTATAGTTAAGCAATTATGAAAAACCACATGAATGACGATCTTCAAAAAGCTGTGATAAGAACTCATATCTAGTGGGGTTTAAGAAAACCAGATAAAATGTTTTTAAGTGAGAGGATGTCAAGATGAAAACATGAATATAAACCCATGGTAGTGGACGTTGTATGCACATCGATGGTAGTTGAAAACATTGGGCATATAATGTAGTTAAAAAGGAAAGAATGAATTTGTAGGAATAAAAAATATAAGATAACTTTAAAGCTACATATATAAGGGCGGAAAAAGAATTAGTATATCTCCACCATCGTGACGGATTCTGAATCATATTATCCAATGTCCTTGACCATTGGTTATGATAATGGTGCAAACATCAACCAGTCTACATCCACCATGTCAGATGATTGGAGGAAATCAATGAGAAGATCTGTTCAACTTGTTTCATGTCAGTTAGCATTAAATGGCAAGATATGACATATATACTCTTGAGGTAACCCAAGTTTCCCATATGGTTTTAATCCACGCCACTCAATATCACAGCCAGAAATATTACAATTCAGTTGTCCAACATGTAACTGACCTCCACACTTTTGTTATGAACAAGCTTCAAGATGCTGAGACCACAAATTTACGCTAAACAACAAATAATTAAGCAGAACATAAAGGTTATATCGATACTTCAAGCATTATCAAAATAATATCCTGATTATGAAACTAATTGAAGATGTTGTGTAATGCACTCAGTAAACAACATAGATCACTCTCTGCCCTCTTAGTTAATCGAAAAGCAGCTTCTGTAAATGGATAGTTTATGGCAAAGAAAACAATAGCACTGGAAAGTGTAGACAAATTAATAGCTACTCTGTTAATTGAAAAATCAAAGTCATATATATCCATCCTTGTGGATATAAATTATCTATATTCTGAAATACTACAAATAACTCAAAAACCTCTAAATTATTTATGATTAGGGTAAAATATTTATGGTTAGGACTGGCAGTCACGAGTTTGCATCAGATATAATACAAAACATTCCCTCGAAACGAATATGGATGACTGAATTCCACTCATCCAAGAGGCCATTAAATATAGTGCCGATAAGTGAATGTTTGTTTCAGCATTAAAGACTTAAGATCAGAATGTAAGGATAGTTTTAGTGTACTGGTTATTTACAATATAATACATGTAACACTGTGGAAAAATTAATACTTTGTTATGAGTTTGAACGAATACAAAAGTATGTCTAATACTAGTGATACGTGATAAATGAATTTTGCACAAAAACCCACAAGTCATGTTCCCAATTTTGACTGGCTTTTCCCCATACTATATTTATAGTTTGAGCTATGTCGATGGACGAGTAACACCTGGTTGAGATAAGAGTGACTAACGTGACTAATTTTTGGAGACATTGTTAACATGGCTCATAATCAGTGGAGACAGTGATGGGATTTATCTTGATAATTTCATCTTGTTGCGTTCATATGATCTGGTGAGCTGAACTAATACACGCTTGTGCAAAGTTCTACGTTGCTTGTGATACTTTTTTCGCAACAATTATGATTTGAATGAATAAAACGAATTGCCTTTGTTCAGTAGACCATTATGATTATTTTCACGATGACCACTTTCACGGTAGCTGCTAAAAGAATCATTATCATCAATTGAATATTTTGTTGCTGCAATTTTGGGCGCTGGTAAATAGAACTGATGAGGTAAATGATTTGATTTGGGATTAAACATTTCCTCAGCTAAGTGACTTCTTCATTCTGAACCACTTTTTACTATTTCATTATAAATAAAGCTGAATAAATGACCACCAATCTGTTCAGGATCCACATGATTTTCACTAGATATTCGTGTTACAAAAACTATTTAGAAAGAGATACAAAATTTGTAAAATGGAAATATAATGATAATAATAAAACCAATAGTCCGACAGTCAACCAGTAACAGTAAATTTAAAGCCTGGCACAAACGCTCGTTGGCCCTAGTTACCATATCACATTGGCAAATCGAGACGAATAACAAAGGAGTGGAAATAACTGTAGTAGTAATGATAATGAAAAGACTAAGCACTGAAGCCATGGTACGAAAAAGCAGAATGAATGGCTAATGTACGACGGAATAATGAAACTCCAGATTTAGAGGAGGACAGAGTGTGAATGGATATGTGCCATCGTGGTCGGTTATTAGCCGCGTCGCTGATCGCAGTTATTGCGTGGACATCAACCAGGTAATCTGCACCAGCACATATGGCTCGGGCCAAAAGCCAATAATTTGGTAGACTGATATCACATTTTATTTTGAGTACCCCTAGGTTTCTTGCAACTTATTCAATAACTAGGATTTCAATCTACCATAAGGTATCATTTCAATCAAAATTGCGAGTATGTTGTGATGATCAAGGTTAGAAATTAGATTTAGAGTTTTCATCACGAACAGACATCAGCTATGATGCCAAACTCTATTTAGTCAAAAGTATGAATAAATTTCACGTCATAACTCGTCACTCGTTATTTTATATCTGACTGGTTCGTCCATGAATTATAGTTTCGCCGATTATTGGATTAAAAATTTATGGACGAGCCAATCATGATAATTGCTGCGAATCGGATTATAAAGTCTCCAGTGACATTAGCTACAGCTTTTGCAGATGTTACAGAAACTTCCACCGTTCAGTGCTACGAGTATTGTCTTGATATATGTGCAATCAAAATGACACGCCTACAAGAATCATTTGGAGGAGTCAGAAGGATAGTGGAAATAGATGAAACACTAGTGAGGAAGCGAATATACAAAAACGCAAGTATTTTTTGATAAAAAGTACTAAACAGAGAACAAGCTAGTTCAAGAAGAGTTCTTTTTTGACGACTAATTTCAAATACTCCGCTTGAAGAATCAATGTTAAACGTATAATGTTGATATCAGAAGGGGTTTTGCGGAAATTGTAGTAATTTCAACAGTTGAGATTATGAAGCTGGACCACCATAGAAAACTTAGAAGCACTAGACGCCCGTTTCGTCCTATTATGGAATTCCTCAGCAGTGCGCATCCACAATACATTTTTGTGAATTTAACCAATTAAATACAGTTAATTTACAGTTATGAAACGATACGACAAGCAAAATTACAAACTATTTATCTCTCTGAGCAACTAAAAAAATGAAAATCTAAAGTGTCGAAATAAATATGTGTACTATAAAATGTAAGCAAATCAATAATGTTCAACATCACATATCTCAAATATTCAGATTTTTAGTTATAAACTTATCATAAATCAATACATACAGGGAACAAAATAACTTGATTTTAAGAAAGAAGTGTGATTTTCAAAAATTGGTTATTTTAACAACATAAATATATCAAACTTTATTGGTTGAAGCTAAAACACTTCTTAGTTGTAGAAATAAAAAGACTGATGCATATAAATATAAGTAGTTAGGAATTAGTGATTGTAGCTAAGCCATGTTGAATCCCACGTAAATCAGTACAAACCAAGGTTAATTCAAATTACCAAGACAAATTTTCTCTTTTTCCCCTCCATTTAGTTCATTTTCATTCCATGGGAGGTGACACTACATGATTGGAATGCTAGTATAACCAAATATAAGTACAACATCAGATAATGAAACGAATCTCGGTTTAAAAAAGAGTAGACAAAACGGAGATCTAGTATACTTGATAGTAATAATTACTTAGACATTGGTGCTCGGAGGCTGGTTACAACCCACATTTTTGAAAATGCAATTAAAAGACTTCTTAATCGCTGGTGTGCAAAGAAGGTTGTATTTAAATTGACATTTACAAGCACTTTCAGCATTTTACCAACTAACAACTTCTGAGAACGAAGTTTCGTGAACTTTATTGTAGTGTAGTAACGTTTAAGCACATAAACAAATATCATCAGGAGCCATTCAGGTGCACAAAACACAAACAATTATCTGTTTGCTCCAATCTAAACGAATCCGTACAAACGTTAATTACACAAAAATAAATTTTCTACAAATTTAATTTAGGGTTTTCATCACGAACCGACATCAGCTATAATGCCAAAACTCTATTTAGCCAAATGTATGAATGAATTTCGCGCAATAACTCGTGGCTCGTTATTTTATATCTGACTGGTTCGTCCATGAATCAAAGTTTCGCCGATTAATGGATTAAAATTCCTAACAACTCTTTTTGAGCTTCTAACTACGGTTTCTACAACCTTACAACCAAATGAATTTGTACTGTATAACCGTCATGTTCGTGATAAAGACTAGTAACTGCATCTATGTATCACAGTTTCAATAATGACCGAAATTCGAAGAAACTACATGCATAGAATAGGATGTGAATGAGTCACGTTTTACTAATGAAACTAATTGTAAGCAGAGTCGGAGGATAAACAAGAAGGATATAAAACATTCCAGCTATAGACGATACTGCTTCAACCAATTGTTGGTTGGTCATATAGTCCGACACCTGTAATATTACAGAAAAAGCCAAAAAGATTAGTTGCAAGTGTTAGAAACTACGGAACACATCACTAAACTTACTTGTTGAAATACAGTCATATTCTACGAATAACGTTAGCTCAACAGCATTGTCGATTATGAAAGAACATTCTCTCGCCAACAAATCAGCAGATATTTCAGATGAATAATGAACAAGATTTTTACATACAGAATGACCAGAACATCTTCTAGATATATTGGCAGTCACATCGACCCAACAATCTCGAGAATTGTGTGCACGACACGGATTGGTTGAGTTTGACATATGTAGAATCTCACGAAAATAACCAAAGTGAGCCTCATGAATAATTATTGTTTTTTCAGAGCCATAATGTATGTGCAGAGACTCGTTAAAGCATGACAATTCCCAATCTAAAATTCCTCAGTGATATAACTAGAGAAATGGATAATTACCAGCAGAATCTTCAAAAATGCAGGTGAAGACTCATACTTGACATGTAAACTAAAATACCAAGAAGCATACTTCATATCTTCAGAGTAGCTTCTAAACATGCATTTTGAAATTGTGCCACTACATTAACTTTATGCTTAAATATTCAAGTTTACAAAGTAAAGAGTCTCTTGGAAGTTCAACTTTGACGTTCATTATGGAACATGTTTAATTCCATTTCCAACTCAGAGTGTTCGACTGAAAATTGTAGTTATAATCACTACTGTATAAGTAGTTGTAGCGATAAATAAATGTTTAAGATCAGTAGCTTTGTAGGTCTTCGATAATTGATGCTGACCACATTAGCTTTAATGGACTCACCTAGCTGAAGGCGCTCGGTCAAGCATCCGCACCAGGTGACGAGTGAGACCAATGTGAGCAACTTTTCATGCAACCGCTAGCCACTTTAGATCAGTCACTTCTCGATGAATTGATAACCTTTCGAATATATCTTCACATCTCCTAGCTTCTGACCGTTGATTTCACTGAATGTGGACGATTCAATTAAAAAGGGTGTCACTGATTGAAGTGTTGTCAAATTAGGAATATTTGTGGCAACTTCATAGTCATATTTTTGTTTTGTGATTTTCGTAGCAATTTGATACTGCCTGTAGGTGGGCTTGCTTTATGTAACATATGATTATTGAGGGTAAATTATTATGACCATGGTTTAGTTTTACAATTAGGAACGTAATTCAACCCGGCTAATATCATCCTTCTTGTTCCTCTTCTGTGAACCAGTAGCGGGAAATGTTGATCTCAGCATTTGCTAATTTCGATGATATATTGACTGCCACACGTTAATGATGGAAATTATTTACTATTCGAACATCCCACGTACTTGGCTAAACCACATCTAGCTCAAACTTGAAAACGAAATTTCAAATTCAATTCATACACAACATTAAATTTGAATATACAAATACTGCATCAGTATGACTAATCCCTTTCAAGTATTGTGCCTTTGAATGTTTTTTATCGCTGTTTGCAACACTCTGAGTCGTTAAAATTATATTATTCAAGTTTCAACTCCGTCAGTTACCATCGTTGAATCTTGTTTTTCTGTCACCTGACTCATCCCAAATTTTAATTACAGTGCCATTATTTTAAAGGAAAGGATTCCTTTTCCACCCTTTTTCACTACTAACCTTCGTGATAGGACGGTGTTTCAATATATGAGGTAGAAAATCAGGTATGAACCGTTCAAAAATGTGGTACTACCAGCTCACTCAATTAAAAACCTGAATTGAGCACCAGCACTAACCGCCTAAGTAAAGGAGAGTACAAAAATTACTCGATACTACAAACCAAAAGCTAATCAATTTAATCTGCCATCTGTCACCTTGAGTCTTTTCGCTTTAAGATTAAATACGTGGACGTAGTAAGTTAGTGTTATTACGGTTCACTTTAATGTTATCTGTTCGCACTGGATTAATCTTCAGCCCCACAATACAAGTGGCGACATAAATTTGCGAAAGAAAAACCGACGCAGGTTTATTAGAGCCCACTCACCTGAGTGGCGACAACCAAAGGACTCTAGAAATCAAATGAGTACAAAATTTTCTATAATAGCGATGACAAACTGCACATGTCGACTACAGAAAAAATACAGAATGACCATCATTAAAAGAATGTCTGCACACATAAGTCGACTAAAAACTATGATTGAGACAAATCAGAAGCATGATCCCACCATATATAAAGGATACATAAGGAATTACAACATGATCACTGGTGCATTTCGGAGTAGATATGTAGTATCATTGAGCTTCAACCACACAATTCTCAAATCAGAACACGAGAACACTGGCAAGATAGATACTTATACATTTAACGTGGAAAACAATCCAACGATCAAGAAGGCGGAGAGAATAAATTCAAATAATTCGAATTCAGGGACGGTCAAAGTGTCATGCTACGGGTTTTCGCACGCAAGTTACGCGTTGTTGAGGATTCTGGATGTCGTTATTTACCAGCTACTAACTGCATTTTTTCTGTCACACGTCTGTTTTTGTAATGTTTGTGCCTGTTACATAACTGTTAATTACGTTTATTAGAAGCTTGACGTAGTTGTTGTTCACAACCTGAATGCAAACTCAAGCAGGTAAAATTCATCATTTATCAAGTCAAAAATGGACCGCAATCAAAGTTTTATGCAAAAAAGAGTTTTGAAACATTTTAGATTTGATTCAACTCCCTTACTATTGTGTTGATGAACATGGATGTTGGTAGTTGGTTGTAAAATGTAGGTTGAAGCAATTTGGAGTCAAACTATTTTTGAATATTAAATAAGTTGCTGATACACAATCATAAACAGTTCTATCCATTATAAGTATAATCGTTTATGACTGAACTGACATAAGAACACATGACGTATCTGAGAAAAAAATTATATGAATAACAATTAACGTTGATAGCCTTTTCTGACCGCTGTCTGAACATACACAGTTCCTGTGTATAACATTGCTGTAAGTGCCATATTATTCAGTCACATATTCTTCAAAAGTAAAGCAATGCGTGCTTGTTTTGAGTATGGCAACTAAACCATGTCGCAGTTATTACTGGTTTACGATGCGTCTGTTATAGGGTTAACGAATAAATTTCTGTAAACAGAATCCGAAATCACTGACCAAATTTTGAACAAAGTTATGATGTATATTGATGAGTAATGTCTAAATAGTGCTTACCAGTAAAATTATAGTCTAGTTCTGTACTAATACTAATTTGATGATAGACTTGATCACAAAACGGTAAATTTGTCATGTGATTGCCCATTCTGTAAGGTCTTACGTGGAAGTCATATCCATGTCTACACTGACTCATTGTTTCGTGACAATTAACAATGATACTTGGTTCTTCTGAGGAACACATTTGTGCTGGTGATAGAATAGTATATTTAGTGTGAACAGTAATAAGTTACACGTAACGAGCACGTCTGCTAGGCTGAGCCATGCCAGCCGACTAAATGAATGACACTACAAGTATCCATTCGAACTTACCGTCATAGTGAAGAAACTCATATGTACAACGCAATATTCAAGCGAAACTTCTAAATTGACTCAGTACTACGAGATTTCGTAATAAAACGGTTACTTATGAAGTAAACACTTAGTCATTTCTGATTCTCAAATAAGTTGCCCGTTAAGATTATCGGTATAGCTCCCCATGGTACTGCGGTGAAAAAGAAAATAAAAAGTTAGCAAACATTTATTGTTGCATCATTACTACTGGTGCAGAAAGAGCAACATTTGATGCAGAAAAACCCGTTTACAAGTTGTATAAATAGTTAAGTTAAAAACACCACTAGAAATCCCTTCTTGTAGTTAACAGCTTCTGTCATGATTCCACAGTCGGTTGTATTCCGGTCTATATTTCTGTCGTATAGAATAGTACACAAAGACTGGCGTTAGATTAACTACAGCCTTACCTTCTTCTTAAGTAAAGTTTGGCTTCACAGAACCAATACATATCGTTTGCTTCGTCTGGGTAGTGAAATTATTGTTTTTACGTTAGATAGGAGTAATATCTATCTTTCCTCGATTGCAATGTCGAAGAATATAATGAAATATACAGTTTATATTTCGTAATTGATCGAGCAAACCTGTAAGATTTTCACTTCTTATGTGCGTCAGTAGCATACCAATTTCCCAGGCTTGAAGAACTTTTGAGCGCAAGGATACCGGTTTTTTGTCACAATCTATCCATGATCCTGATTAAGTCTGCTCACAATTCTTCCTGCTCCCAAGCAAACAGATGAGGGCGCCCCAGACTAAAATTGTACCCAAAGTTCAGACAAATGTTTTCCAAGAATAGTAAGACTGGCAAGTTAAGTAGCAACAATCAATACAACATGTGCACTACAAGACAGAGAGAGCCAAATTAATGTTCTTCGTAGTGATTTTGTGATTTTACTGCAGCAAAACACCACTTAAATATGAGAACACGTGGTATTCCTGCAACACAACTGGCGCCCAACAAACTTACGGCAGCTGAAATACGGAAGTGCCACTCGTGTCAGGCCTTTCAAGGTCGTTGGAATGAAACGGAAGAAGGCATTGAGAAGATCTGACTTTTTTATTGTGCCGTTCTATCTGCAACATGCTAATTAATTACACAAAGGCATATAGATTAACTATATGGCGACTAAGTCATGTTATATCTATCACGCGACTCCATGTCAGGTGATTACTATTATCAGTATTAGCATTAGTACTGTCATGACCATTATTATTAAGAAGTCACTGGATGGGTGACATCAGACCAATCTTGTCGTTTCGTCTAGTTTGGTGGTGGACTGACATTGTCATTTACTGGTTCAGTTTTAAAAGTCACGATAAACGCGTTTATTGATATATGAATTCAACACTTCTCAACGATGTGCGTCTCGACACTCAACTGATTTCATTGCAAAATATGAAACAGTGGAAAGAGATTTTCGATTATTTCAAAGCCCTTTAGAACCATATTTCTGTGTTAATCTCATTACCAGGACAACGCATTTATTGATCAAAGTTGACTAAACACAAACAGGCCATTATTGCTTATTGATGTGGCGTTTTACACATACGTCACATACATATACTGTTCAATACTAATTACCATTCATGACTTTACCGATCTGGTTTAAATAATTAGACGGTTTATAAAGTATCAAAAAGAACATTCCCAATGAAGTCCGAAGCGTCAATTATTTAGGTGATAAGTTTGGCTTCAGTTAACTGAATCAAAATTGTGAATAATTCAGAATAAACAGAACTCGTGTTTTTTAGTCGTAGCACAACCTCTTCTGTAATTGTTGCTGTTCAACCACGACA